ACTTGATGGCTCTGAATATTAGCAACGAAGAAGAAAATGACTGGCATGGATCATTCATCATTATTTCAGTGACTAAAGCCATTCTGCAGTAGACAGCTATTTAATGAATTCAATTTGATGGATGGATGAAAAAATATGTTAAGTGGGGAGCGACGAAGGTTCCGATCCTATGCACAATTACTGGGTGCTAAACCCTATTAGACACAGTGAGGTGTAATTATGAGCAAAATTGCATAGGATTGGAGACAGAATTTGGAGACTAGATTCTTGAATTTTCTGCTTAATCAACCATTCTTTGTCCTGTGATTGTACATCAGTTGGTCACTGTGTGGTTAAGCAAAGCAAAAGAGATTAACATAGCACACAGCACATTCATGTGCAACAAAGAACATGTGTGATTTCTAATTATAGCCTGAACTGGTCATCAATTTGAATGGATGAGACAGTTTCATGTTATGAAATACCCTGCACAATTACAATTTTGACAGTGGCTCATTATTTCTTCAGCTTTGTATGGATTAGAGTTGAATCAGTTATTTTCATCTCTATATTCCTTTGCTTATACAATTTCTCCTGCAAAAAACAGTTGATTGATTGCACACTGAATATTGTCTTACCTGTTTCTGGTAAATAGGCATTGTTCCTGTAAGAAACAATGCTAGATCGACACTCCCCTTTGGGGAGTGTTGATCTAGCATAAAAAAACAGTGGTGTGTCCGTTCTCCAAATTACAACCCTGATCACCTTCCAAGGGCTTGGAATTGGATTACTTTTCCATCCAGTCCAGTCCTAGGATTCTGTGCTGCTTCATGGAGAGGGAAAGTCTATAAACACTGAGGCATTAACCCAGTAGTTTTGGTATCTTTGGTTCTTTTGTGACTTTCATAGTATAAAATGTGTACAATTAACAATTCTGGACAGTAGAATGTTGCAGCGTATGAGTACAGACAAGGGCTTGTTAGCCAGTTCTTGTTCTTTTGTGGGATTAGCAAATTGAGAGATTTCCCTTTGAAAGCATATTGAATGTTTTCAGGCCTAGTAGTTAATTGATTTCAAAAGCCATTTCCTGCACTATATTTTCCTCGGGACCATATGATGGCCAGATTTCAGAAAAGTACAGAAAAGCAGATGAGAACCAGAACTTAGTTTTGAAAGGAAGAAGGAATCTGTCTGAATCAACTTTTGTGTGGGCCTTCCTGGTATTTCCTTATGGATAATGGCTTCTGCATCACGCAGGGACACAAACGTGGCTTCTTTGGCTCAGGCCTCAGCAACTATTGCTACTTCCGTGGATTGCAAGTGTAAAGTCTAGTGAGAATACCAGTCATGAGCTAAGCAGTAGAATCCCAAGGCACTTAAGGGAATGAGTGGGAAATAGCTGTGGAATCTGACCCAGTCCTATTATTCAGCAGGGATAAAGCATCCACCTCAGGTGTTGGTGTACTAAGCTTTGTGGGCCACGTGGCCAGTTTTGCACCGCCAATCTGCTTCCCTCAGGTGTGGTGGGGGATACAGGCCTGTGGCACCAGAACATTATTACTACTGCTGCTGCTGCTAAATTTTCCAAGGGGTTCAAAGTGATGTATATGGTTCTTCCACACCCCCCATTTTATCCTCACTACCTACCCTGTGAGGTAGGTTCAGCTGAGAGGCAGCAACTAGCCCAAGATCACTCAGTGAACTTTATGGTTGACTGGGGATTTGAACCCTGAACTCCTAGTTCAGGGTTTCCCAAACTTGGGTCTCCAGCTGTTGTTGGGACTACAACTCCCATCATCCCTAGCTAACAGGACCAGTGGTCAGGGATGATGGAAACTGTAGTCCCAACAACAGCCGGAGACCCAAGTTTGGGATGCCCTGTCCCAGTCTAACACTCTGACCACGCTGGGTATGATACAACTGGCAGGCTAGTGGGCTTCTGTATGGAATGAGATGTATGTTGCACAGAGCCATCTTATCCTTTGCTCAGGCAGGAAAATGAAATAGGCTGACCTTGAAAGGCATAACAGGAGTTTCACAATGACCCCAAAGTGCTACAGCTGACTGGGAATCACATCCCAAGCCCAAAATGTGAATTGACACACAGAAGCTTCAGAGGAATGAAGGAGAGGCTCACAGGAAGGAGGTCTTCAATGATTGTTTTGAATTTGGGTGGTGGGAGCTATTTTATTTTTATTTTGAAATCAAATAAATTCAAGGCAAACATTTGCCGTCTTCTGGAAAGTTTTATTTTTTTGCTACCTGAAGAGGATCCCCACCGCCACTCCATCTTCTGCCAAACATATGCTGAAATCTTATTCATTATGGGGCCAGCAAGGTCTTTCATCCCTACCAACAAAATTCATAAGATAAAAAGGGAGTTATTGCTCCTTGCTCTTTAAAAAAAGATATTGGCAGAACACTCTCTGCCTTCCTTCCCTGTCTCATCAGAATGATTCTCCTTCGCCCCCCCCCCCCTTGGACCTCCCATCTCGCCACACAGGGTTCATAAAGCACAATTTGGAGATAATGAAAGAAATACAGGACACAACATGTTTCTGGCTGATAGTATTGATTCCAGGTTTTCTCACAGAGAATTAATTCACCCATATGCTCCTGCTGCAATGCTACTTAACTGCTTCTATGACTGCCTGTTGAAACTGTTTCGCATATGTAACAGACCTCACATCACAGATCAAAACTAATTACCAAAAAGTCACCCTAACTGCTCAGCAGAGGACATATCTGAGATAAATGCAGGTTCACATTGGCACCTGATTTTCATTATCCGTTTAATGGAGAGGCTAATAAAGAGGATACAATACAAATAACGAGTGACACATTTGGTGCAAATGATGGGCTAGCCTTCGTACAAGAATGCTGCATTTGTTTGTTTTTCCTCTTTTCAATTTTCCATGTTCCCTCCCTTAATTCATTTGTATGCCATTATCTTTGTCATAATGGAAACATCCTACAACTTATGAAGCTACTCTGTGGGTTGGTCCACATAGAATGCTAAACCATTATGTACAATGTTATGTGAGCTAGAGTACCCACTGCCCCTGGCTCATGTCCCCCTCATACGCTGGCACACTTTCATTAAAAACAAAAACAAAACAAAAACTGGAACTTGCCATGTTGTCCGAAACCAGAGAAACTGCTATAGTTAGTGAAAACCAGCCAGCTTTAAACCATAGTTTATAAACTGGCTTGTTTTCATTAGCCACACTTAACCACAGTTTATGATATGTACAGCACACTAAGCTTCTGAACTCCTCACACCCACCCTGGAGAAGGGACAGGATGCATGTACATGGATGTGGAAGCTAGGCTTGTTCTCAGAATACTAGGCCATGGCTTAGTGCTGTGTCTGAAGGGAGCTTTTGACAGCTGGTATAATTGCCAATTGTGGGACGCGGGTGGCGCTGTGGGTAAAAGCCTCAGCGCCTAGGGCTTGCCGATCGAAAGGTCGGCGGTTCGAATCCCCGCGGCGGGGTGCGCTCCCGTCGTTCGGTCCCAGCACCTGCCAACCTAGCAGTTCGAAAGCACCCCCGGGTGCAAGTAGATAAATAGGGACCGCTTTCTAGCAGGAAGGTAAACGGCATTCCGTGTGCTGCGCTGGCTCGCCAGATGCAGCTTGTCACGCTGGCCACGTGACCCGGAAGTGTCTTCGGACAGCGCTGGCCCCCGGCCTATAGAGTGAGATGAGCGCACAACCCTAGAGTCTGTCAAGACTGGCCCGTACGGGCAGGGGTACCTTTACCTTTATAATTGCCAATTGCCACTGTCTTACAAGGATTTTTCTCGCTGTATTGGTCATAGAATTTTTGTAGTGGGCAGAAGGGGAAATGGGGAGGTTATTTTGAGAGGATTCTCTTTTTTTGGAGTTTATTTCTCCTCCAAAGCTGAGTCAGAAAACTGCAGCAGCTCTAGACAAGTTGTATCCAGTAATTTTTATCATACTGATAGCATCACCTTTCTCAAAATACACACTGCTGAAATAAAAACAATTTATTCCTTGTGAGCACCAGCTGCGGTAAAAAGAGCATGGCCAGAGATTTAGGATTGATTTGTTAGTGCATTTCTCTGATGGTACAATCTTATTATGACATAGCTCTGCATCACTGTTTTAAGTATTAAGAAGTCCCTGAATGATTTATATGCATTTGTAAATGCCTTTTTCTTCTTCTTTTGCTGTGGCCACTCTTTCTGGGCTGCTAGCCCTGAAGGCAGAAGGGATGGGGGGCTTCCTCAACGCAGGAGAGTCCCACTGAACTGCCTCCTCATCAGCAACTGATGCATGGATTATCATTTCCACCAGAGAGCTTGACAACCACTGTGATCTCTGGCAGAAAATGACGTCCTCAAAGCTGTGCATTAATTGCAGCCAAAGTGTGGTCCTTTGAGGTCTCTCTTGTGCTGTGGAGATCCCTGCATTGCATGGGGCTTAGACTAGAGGATCCTTGGGATTCTTTCCAACTCTATGATGCTGTGGTTCTAACACACGCTATGCCCTATCCCCCGCACTATGTTTTTGGCATTGGGAAGGGAAAATATTAAGGAGTGGCAAGGAGCACAGAGGTGAGCCTTCAGAGAGGGTGGATGTTTTCACTTTAAAGTGGACCCTCTAAGCAAACTTTTTCACCAGGGGGCCGGTCCACTGTCCCTCAGACCTTGTGGGGGGCCGGACTATTTTTTTTTGGGGGGGGGCGAATGAACCAATTCCTATGCCCCACAAATAACCCGGAAATGCATTTTAAATAAAAGCACACATTCTACTCATGTAAAAACACCAGGCAGGCCTCACAAATAACCCAGAGATGCATTTTAAATAAAAAGGACACATTCTAGAAGGCGATTGGGCCGGATCTGGCCCCCAGGCCTTAGTTTGCCTACCCATGCTCTAAGCTGTGCTTTACTTTGAATAATCAACCCATTCTAAATAATCTTCAAAGGCACCTCCTTGGGAGTAGGGGGCATGAATGATTCATAGATCCCTTGGGATTCTTACTTCTCCTTACCTGGTTATGATGTTGCGATGCTGGCAAATCAGTTCATATATTTACTTTCATATAGTTAGAGATTTCCAAACAATGCTTTGCTGTTATTATTTCTAGTTAAATTTATCCCACTGGCACTGATGTTGCAAGTAAAGTCTGGAAATTATCTCTCCTGCTCTTTCCCTCTCCTTGCTTTCCGAAGTGTTTATTCACCAGAGTCCTTTAATTTTGAGCCCTGTAGACAAGAGCTGCTCCTTTGGCTTCATAACTCAGGTAGCTACAAGGCTGCAGAAATAAAAATGAGAAACAGTTATGTAATTGAGAGACAATGAAAATCTCTATCAGCCCTGACAAACAATTGTTTTCCTCACTGCCTCCAAAATGTAATTATATGGGCCTCTCTTGCTTTCATGTACCTAATTACTGAATTACTATAGATCATATTGTCTGTGCCGTATCCAAACTGCAGCTTCTATTGCCTTCCAAAGGGTTTATTGTTCCGTATCAATTTAGGATTCTCTTTTCCCACACTTCTCTTTCATGCTTCCCTTTATGTAACCCTTACAAAATATCAATAACATACCCTGAAGAGGTTTAGACCTTGTTTCAATTTTCCATGACTGTCATGGTGTCCTTTCATCTCTGGCTATGAGCTATTATTTTCATAGATCTTGTGTACATATTACCCCCACATTTGCTTACAAATGCTGAATGGCATCCTTAGGCAGTGGCACTTAATAAACACATAGGTTAATGATAGCTTTAGTTGGGAGGACTACATGCAAACAAACGTCTCTCTGCACAAATTATACCCATGCCATCTTTCTTTTTAGTTTTTTTAAATTCCTCATTGTACAGCTTTCACTAGCACTTTGGGTGATGAGAGCTCATTGAACATTATTCTCAACTCACTTTCCAAATTAAAATGCCTGAGCCAAAACCTCATGATGCTGCACATCTTTTCTGCTCCTGCCATTTGTTGCAAATTAGTGTTTTGAAAATGAAAATAATGGTACTGGGAGGAGAAAATGCTTGTTTCACACTTAGGTGTCATGTGACGTGCCCTAGATAATTTAAAGACGCGCTGAAGCATGTGAGCCGAGTGCGAAAACAGTGTCATGACAGGCCTTGTAAAAGATGCGTGATTCTCAGTGATGTCTGCATAAATGCAGTCCCGTTTCATCTAACATATTCATAAGCATGTTAATTATGCGAGTTTTCATGAGGAAAATACATTGTGTTCTTCATATAAAGGAAATATTCTAAATTCTCCGTAGCTTAGCTGATTTCAGTTTATGAAACAGCAATGTCTTCAGCCTGGGAGAAAAGGCATTCTTTCCCTGTGTTGTGTTATTTGGTAAAACTTGGACATTACTGGCAAACTGCAAGAATTTCTAACTGTAAAAGGAGATGCTACAGTCTAGTGGCCCCTTAGAAGGTGTCTCAGGGACCATATGACCTACCCTCCAACATTTTTCTGATGTAAATTGGGTCGTCTTGAGGAAAAATTCTTAAGGAACTTCTTTCCCAGAGAAATTGGCCTGGTGGATTCATTATACACCTTTAGGCACCAGGCGAAAAAGTTCCTTTTTAACCAGGCCTTTGGTTGACCGGATTGACATCCAACATCCTATACCCTTTTAAACTGTGGCTCTTTTTGGGGTGTGTGTGTTATTGGGTCATTGTTCTTATTTTGACTTCATATATTGTAATATTTTCTGTGGACTTCCCTGAGACCTCCGGGTATAGGGGGGAATATAAATTCAATAAATAAAATAAAAAATAAATAAAAATGGAATATCCCAGGATCAAATCAGAAACTAAGATGGCTTCTGTAAATCTGGGACTGTCCCTAGAGGATAGGGACTAAGGACACTTGGGGGGGGTCTGATAGGGTGGATCAGGGGTTCTTCTCTGACATCAGAGAAGGACATCCAATGTTGGACCCCCTGTTCCTGCCATTGCAGCAACTTACATATCCCTGGCCAAACTGACTCCAGAGTTTTGACATCACTAGAGCTCCAAAGAGGGTATGTCTGGGATGGTTCAAGGGCATGCTGGCAGAGGCAAACTTCTGCTCCTCTAAGCAGGCCTGGCAAATAAAACCTTCTCTTTTACCTTTCAGTGTGTCACTCTAAAAGTCTTCCAGCTTTGATGCTTCTACCAACATCTATGTTCTAGATTAATAAGACGCCTTGCAGCCACTGACAAATGAGAAAGCATTCTGGGGGGAAAGAATGTATCATCATGTTGAGACTTCAGCTGAGGTCTCAAGCCACCTGGAAAAGAAGAAATTACCAAATCCATCATTAGAATCAGCTTTGTGGTGACAGCAAAGGCTGGGGAAGAGAAGGGATCCAATGCTATCACGTGCCATTCTCGAGAAAGTCAAGGAAGTTAATGGATCTGTTAATTTGATTATTGCTGCAACTGTGGCCCTATCACACCACTTTACACAATCATGCTTTCCCCCAAAGAATTCGGGGAGCTGTCATTTGTTATAGGTGCTGAGCTACAATTCTCAGGGCATGCAAACACAGTAGTTTAAACCTCAAATGAGTGTGTCTATAATAGGCTTCCAAACATTCTTGAAATTACTACAACAACCAAAAGCCACAATCTGCAATAGAACTTCAGTAAGTTCAATTGTAATAGATTTTCAGCATTTTCATGCTGGGTGAGGAAGGCAGACCAGCCACACTTAATTTATTGAAGTATAATTGTCATGTTCAAATGCAAGAATAACACCATATGGAACATTATGCTAATGTGTTATCACACTAATTACTTATTATATTACTCACCCTTGGAGCTAACAAAAACCTGCATGTCTGCCTAGAAAAAGTACTTGAAAAGTTTTCGTGCTGTTGTTCTGCTTAGACATCTATATCTATCCATCCTTTCTCTCTTCTAAAAAAAACAATTGGACCAAAATGTACACAGAAAAAAAGAGCCTTTAAAATCATATAGGTGTTTATTTGCTAATGCTAGAAGCCTGAAAACCCAGATAGGTGGATTGTTGTCAGAGTGCCTCAGACTAAATATTCCATTGAACATTTGAACACCTATGGGATACATTTATCTATGGATATTAGAATCGGGTACTTTCTAGTTGAATGTTGTTGTTGTTGTTTAGTCGTTTGTCGTGTCCGACTATTTGTGACCCCATGGACCAGAGCACGCCAGGCACTTCTGTCTTCCACTGCCCCCCACAGTTTGGTCAAACTCATGCTGGTAGCTTCGAGAACACTATCCAACCATCTCGTCCTTTGTCGTCCCCTTCTCCTTGTGCCCTCCATCTTTCCCAACATCAGGGTCTTTTCCAGGAAGTCTTCTCTTCAGCTTCACGATCTGTCCTTCCAGTGAGCACTCAGGGCTGATTTCCTTAAGAATGGATACATTTGATCTTCTTGCAGTCCATGGGACTCTCAAGAGTCTCCTCCAGCACCATAATTCAAAAGCATCAATTCTTTGGCGATCAGCCTTCTTTATGGTCCAGCTCTCACTTCCATACATCACTACTGGGAAAACCATAGTTGAATTCTAGTTGAATAGTTGGAATAGTTCAGTGCAAATCTGTGTGTTTAGTGATAGAGAAAGGGCAGCAGCAGCTAAAAAATGGGTGCAGCACATGGTCGCAGGAGCATCAGACTAGTTCCACTGCCATGCACTGCTCCGAACTGAGCTTCCTGCACCTCACCCCTTCTCTTCTTGGTAAGTGGCAGCGACCTACAATGTTGGGAAGCTAGGAGATCTAGGGCACCCTACTCACACCACCACACTGGCCACAATTCCTCTTAGCAGACTCTGTGGAAAATAACTGGTGCTATGGCACTGGTCCTGCCTCTGACACAGAATACTTCATCCTTTCTGTTGTGCACATACCGTATTTTTCGCTCTATAACACGCAGATTTTTTCTCCTAAAAAGGAAGGGGAAATGTCTGTGCGTGTTATAGAGCGAATGTGTGGTCCCTGGAGCCAAAAAATCAAGCAAAAGTCAAACCGCGAGTCACGGAGAAGGGAAACCTGAAAAGAGGAAGTGGCAGCTTTCCTGCATTCTGCCTCAGGGTCTTACTGCCCACCCTCCTCTGTTTCGTTGCTGTGATTGCTGAAACGGAACAAAGAGCAGGGAAAGCCCCTCCCCTCCAGGCAAGCAGAGTGTAGTTCTTTCTAATTCCTCTCTGTGCTCCGGTGCTGCTGGGGGAGAGGGAGAGAGAGTGGGGGAGGGAGAGGGAGAGGGGGGGAGGGAGAGGGAGAGAGAGGGGGGGAGGGAGAGAGAGGGGGGAGGGAGGGAGGGAGAGAGAGAGAGAGAGAGAGAGAGAGAGAGAGAGAGATGGCTGGCTTGGGGGGGAACTTTTGCCTTTCTTTCCTCCCACCCCAAATCCCTCTCCAGCATTCTTAGCCAGCTGCTTCTCTGCACACCCCTCTCATGTCCCTTCTTTGTTTTTCCTTCGCTCCCCACTTAAAATGTGGTTACAAAGCATAGATCAACATGGATCCTCAGGATCTTTGCATTGGGTCACCCCAAATTCACCATCAGATCACATAGCATGTCCATGGCTACAGCCTGCACCAAAAAAATCACGCACCCACTGTTGCCTGGGGCTGCAATGGTGCAAAAACGTGGTTAAAAAGCATGGATCCACATGGATCCTCAGGATCTTTGCATTGGGTCACCCCAAATTCACCATCAGATCACATAGCATGTCCATGGCTACAGCCTGCACCAAAAAAAGCACGCACCCACTGTTGCCTGGGGCTGCAATGGTGCAAAAACGTGGTTAAAAAGCATGGATCCACATGGATCCTCAGGATCTTTGCATTGGGTCACCCCAAATTCACCATCAGATCACATAGCATGTCCATGGCTACAGCCTGCACCAAAAAAAGCACGCACCCACTGTTGCCTGGGGCTGCAATGGTGCAAAAATGTGGTTACAAAGCATGGATCCACAGGGATTCTCAGGATCTTTGCATTGGGTCACCCCAAATTCACCATCAGATCACATGTCTGTGGCCACAGCATGAAGCACAAAAATGATACATCCACTGTTTCATTCAGAATGTTTTTTCCCTTGTTTTCCTCCTCTAAAAACGATGTGCGTGTTATGGTCAGGTGCGTGTTATAGAGCGAAAAATACGGTACTTCACAAAGAAAACTGAGCTTGGCTGGCATTTATTTAGTTTAACCCCCTAGCTGCCCCCATGGCAGAGAACTTTTCTGAGTGGCTCAGACAACAAATACAACAATTAAAATACAATGCTGAAAACAATAAAAACTATTAACAACTAAAAACACACACACAATAGATCCATAGACACAGAGGTATTTTAAAAAGCCTGGGTGAGCTAAAAGGTTTTCAGCTGATGCTGAAATGACCCAGTGGGTCTCTGGAGGGTGGGGGGTGCGCAGCTGGGTAAAGCAGTGGCTCTCAGCTGAACTCCAGCTGCCTGTGTTGCTTCTGCATACTGGGTCTGAAGGAGGAAGCGCAAGGTGGTGGTGAGGTGTGCACAAGCATTGCATCGGTGTTTGCACTCCCTTGACGTTGCCGCAGCAGTAAACAATTCTAGTTGTTGACATTTTTGGATACAGTATTTTTCGTCCAGATTGTAGAGAGACTGGCAGAGAGGGTGTTTAAAATGTGTTTAGAGGGTGCTCCCCATTTATGCGATTTTTGCTTATGCTCATGGGGCCTGGAATGTAACCCCCACGTAAAAGGGGGGGTGCCCGTACTTCACATCTATGTCAAACTGAGTTTTTATTATTATCATTCAGGCCATGCCTTTTCTCCCCTGTTTAAATGACAGTGAAGTTAAAGACAGGAGATCTCTTCTACCTGGTTACATTTCTTGATGCATATTGTTTTACCCTGACTTTCTGACACTTGATTATGTTTTTGTCATTTTTCTACATGTACATGAAATTGTATTAACAAATGAATTCGATTGACATTCCATTTTAACTGGGCTGCCCTCATAAATCATGTATTTCACCAAGTTTCACAAAGGCCTGTACCACTCATCACTGTCATGCTAACTCAGACGGGGTTAATGGTACAATATAGGTACAGGCTCCTTTTTGTTTTGGATGGCCACTGATATGTTTGGTTTTATAAGCACACCTTGAATACTCAGTCGCTGTATTTGGGGCCAGTGAGGAATTTTTCTTGCAGACAATTTGGGCCTGCTGGAAGGTTTTCACCTGCCTCGTAGCAATCACCACAACCTCTTGGCAGATAAGGCATTGGGTTGGATCCTTAGACTATTAGGTCCCCCACTAAAGGGGTCCAGGAAGTTGTGTTTCTGTCCAGAAGCCGACATGGGGGCTGATGGGCCATAGCACCCATCCAAACAGCAGGCATGATAGGATCACCCTGATTTGATGCTGGTCGACCCAGTCTACTGGTTGATTCCAGATACATACCCAAGGCCTTTGCCATAGCTTACTTACATCTGTGATGAATACATTTTGTGGACTATTTTAACCCAATGCCAATTTCTTCCTTGGCCTGTCCTGTGCTGCTTCCTACACCTGGGCCCGGAATATAAGAGCAGGCAAGGCACTGGCCAGGGGGAGTCACTATCTCTCCACCCTGCCTCTGCCATGCATCTGGAAAAAGACTCCATCATGAAATATGTTCATTCAAAATGTGGGGTGATGGAAGGATATGGTGACCGCAGACTCTTGCTACTTCTGCTGCACGAAACAGCTGAGAATATTACAGTTAAATAAGGAGAGAGAGAGAGAGATATGCTGCTGGTGCCTCTACTTTGATGGTGAAACCTCCTTCCTCTTTTCTTTTTTAAAGTTCATTGGCCCCTGAATGTCATAAAAAATTAGGTGCTGCTTGACTGTAAAAACAAACAAAACCAAACCTCAGAGCAGATTGCAAAAAGAATAAATATCTGTATCTAGCCAACCTCAGCTTGAAAAGTTCGTGTTGGGGGCTCCTTGCTGCTATGTGTTTTCAAGACACATAGAGGGAATGCTGTCATGTCCCGTCACTCCTGGGGGACTTCTGCCACACACACTGAAACCGTGCACTGGAGCACCATGTGTCATGCTAGCAGCTCAGGATACACAGTTTTAAAGCAAACCATTTGGGGCAGGGGAACAGAGATGGCACACAACCCCTTAGAGCACCACGCAAGTTGACCACTTGGAGCACCTTGCAAATGTTTATTCTAAATGTGCTTCTGGGCAGATTTTTAAGGATTTCCCTGTAAATATCCACCTGGAAATGGAACAGGATGGATTTAGTTCCAATCTTCCTGAAA